TGTTGGTGCTGACCTTTAAAGACCTAAACAGCCTCAAAACTGAAGGAGCGTTTCCACCCCCATCGTTCTGCCCGGACACTGAGGTCCAGCTCTGAGGGCCTTCTGGTGATTCCCGCCCTGCGAGAAGCGAAGTTACAGGGAACCAGGCAGAGGGCCTTCTCGGTGGTGGCGCCCGCCCTGTGGAACGCCCTCCCATCAGATGTCAAGGAAATAAGCAACTATCTGACTTTTAGAAGACGTCTGAAGGCAGCCCTGTTTAGGGAAGTTTTGAATGTTTGATGCATTATTGTATTTTAATAATTTGCTGGAAGCCGCCCAGAGTGGCTGGGAAACCCAGCCAGATGGGCGGGGAATAAATAAATTATTATTAGTATTCCAGTTCTGTGATTCTTCTGATGGCAGCTCCTGTTTTGTCACATTCTTCTGGCTGTTTCCCAGACTGATCCTATGTTTGCTCCCATGGCAGGATTTGCTTCGGGTCTGGTGCCCATGTACGTGGGCGAAATCTCCCCCACCAACCTTCGCGGGGCGCTGGGCACACTGAACCAGCTGGCCATCGTCATCGGCATCCTCATTGCCCAGGTAAAGAACAATTCCCCCTCTCTCCCTCCCACACACAAGTAGCGTATAATCCTAGGACTGTCGAGCGGGAAGGGAACCCTGGGTCATCTAGACCAACCCCAACAGTGCGGGAACTACCATTGGCTAGATTCCAGGAAAATGAGAGGGCTCTGTTCATGGGATTAATCCATTCCAGACTTTGGAAAACAACCCCTAAAACAGAAATTTAACATGAATTTTGCTATCTAACGAGACCATCGATCCATAAAATGAAAGCAAAAAAGCAACGTACTGCAGTCACACAATCAATCAGTCGGTAGGTGAACTGGGTTCCACACAGTCACAAAAATAACACAACAAAAAAGAGCCACAAAAACAAATATGCAAAATAACAGACAGACCTTAGCGCAACACTCAAAATGGAAGCATGGCACTCAAAACGGAGCATGTTCGGCTTCCGAAAAAGGTTCGCAAACTGGAACATTTACTTCCGGGTTTGCAGTGTTTGGGTTCCAAGTTCTTTGAGTGCCAGGGCGTTTGAGAACCAAGGTACCCCTGTAATCTCTTTGTTGAGTTTTCTGATGCAGCGACAGACCATACAGGGTTTTAATAATAATAATAATAATAATAATAATAATTTTTATTTATACCCCGCCCTCCCCGGCCAGAGCCAGGCTCAGGGCGGCTAACACCAATAAAACCACAGTAAAAACATAATAGGGGGAAATGGCTTCTTACATAGGGGGGAAACAAACGAACAAACAAAACCAATTTAAAATACAGGTTAAAATGCAATTTAAAATTCAGGCTCATTTTAAAGTAGCTGATAAATCAAGACCATAAGGGGAGGGAAACATAAGGGTCAGACCGAGTCCAAACCAAAGGCCAGGCGGAACAGCTCTGTCTTGCAGGTCCTGTGGAAAGATGTCAAGTCCCACAGGGCCCTAGTCTCTTGGGACAGAGCGTTGCACCAAGTCGGGGCCAGTGCTGAAAAGGCCCTGTCCCTAGTTGAGACCAATCTAACCACCTTGCGACTTGGGACCTCCAAGGTGTGGTCATTTGTGGACCTCTCCGTGGGGCATACCAGGAGAGGCGGTCCCGTAGGTACGTGGGTCCTAGACCAGTGATGGGGCGGACCCCAATATGAGGGTCAAGGGACTGCATGACCGCTGTCCGTTTCTTCTAACCCGCGTTGGGTGACAGGCACTTGCCCAGACAATCGGAACACAAGTCGTGCCGGACAGGGGGCCTGTGAAAATCTTTAAGGAAGTTGTGGGGAGATGGACAGACAGCTCCAGAGAGGGATTTGGCTGCCAGACAGAACCTATTTCTGCCCTGTGTTTGGGGAACTTGGCAGAAGGCGCTGCCAGTCACGTTCGGGCAAAAGGAAGAGGCCAGGTCTCTCCTCCATGCTTGCCTGGCCTGGCATTCAAAACAGAAAGGGGCGTCTCAGTTTTTGCAATCCGCCCCAAGTCATTGGAATAGGGTGGGTTAGAAAATATATTCAGTATCTGCTCATAGCTCAGAACTGAAAAAACGTGGGGCATTTAAGAATATGAGAAGATCCCTGCTGGATCAGTCCAATGGCCTGATTAATAATAATAATAATAATAATAATAATAATAATAATAATTTCACAGAGGCAGAAGCATAGCTATCTTTGCTGGTAAGCACCGGTAGCCCTCTCCTCCTCTGTGAAGTTTTCCAGTCCTCTTAAAACTGTCCAATTTGGTGGGCATCACTTTTTCCTGTGGGAAGGAGTTCCGCAGTTTAGCTAGGCAGTCGTACCTTGGATCTCAAATGCCTTGGTTTCCAAACAAAGTGGCTCCCGAACGATCGAAACCCAGAAGTGAGTGTTCCCATTTCTGAACGATTTTCGGAAGCCAAATGTCCGGCCCGGCTTCTGATTGGCTTGCAGGAGTTTCCTGCAGCCATTCAGAAGCCACGGTTTGGTTTCCAAAGGTTTTGGAAGTCAAACGGACTCCCGGAACGGATTCCATTTGACTTCTGAGGTACGACTGTGGCCGCAAAAAGTATGGGGTATCGCATTATCGGGGGAAATTGGCTAAGGAAATGAAGGCTCTAGCTCAGCGGTCAGCAAACTTTTTCAGCAGGGGGCCAGTCCACTGTCCCTCAGACCTTGTGGGGGGGCCAGACTATATTTTGAAGGAAAAAAATGAATGAATTCCTATGCCCCACGAAGAACCCAGAGATGCATTTTAAATAAAAGGACACACTCTACTCATGTAAAAACACCCTGATTCCCTGACTGTCCCGGCCGGATTTAGAAGGCGATTGGGCCGGATCCGGCCCCCGGGCCTTAGTTTTCCTACCCATTCAGTGGTTCTCAACCTGCGGGTCCCCAGATGTTGTCGGACTACAACTCCCATCATTCCTAGCCAGCATGACTAGTGGTCAGGGATGATGGGCGTTGTAGTCCAACAACATCTGGGAACCCACAGGTTGAGAACCACTGCATGGTCTAGCTGATGGCTTTGTGGAAATGTGGTGCCCTGACGTTCTCTGTTGAAAATTCAAATGTTTGGCATCGTCTGGAATCATGTTTACAACTACAGTGGTGGTAATAATAATAATAATAATAATAATAATAATAATAATAATAATAATAATAAAAAATAATTTATTATTTATACCCCACCCATCTGGCTGGGTTTCCCCAGCCACTCTGGGCGGCTTCCAACAAAATACAGTGGTACCTCGGGTTACATATGCTTCAGGTTACATACGCTTCAGGTTACAGACTCCGCTAACCCAGAAATAGTGCTTCAGGTGAAGAACTTTGCTTCAGGATGAGAACAGAAATCGTGCTCTGGTGGCACGGCAGCAGCGGGAGGCCCCATTAGCTAAAGTGGTGCTTCAGGTTAAGAACAGTTTCAGGTTAAGAACGGACCTCCGGATCGAATTAAGTACTTAACCTGAGGTACCACTGTATGGCTGAAAACGTCTTTCCTGTGTTTTCTGTTCTGTCCAGAATGGGGCGCACTGGGAGGGCATGTTCACTGGAGTCTGCAAAATCTGTTTTGAAAAATGAATGCAATGAGAAATATGTCAAGTGCCTAACTGGCTTTTTTGTGAAACAGGTGTTTGGTCTGGACAGTCTTCTAGGCACAAGTGAGCTGTGGCCCCTCTTGTTGGGTATTTCGGTGGTGCCTTCCATCCTCCAGCTCCTGATGTTCCCCTTCTGTCCGGAGAGCCCCCGATATCTCTACATCATCCGCAACAAGGAGTCCAAGGCCAAAGAAAGTGAGATCTCCCTCTCCTTTCCCTCTGCCTTTCCCCCATTCATAGAATCGTAGAATTGTCGAGTTAGAGAGTTGTTGTTGTTGAGTCGTTTAGTCATGTCCGCCTCTTCGTGACCCCCTGGACCAGAGCATGCCAGGCACTCCTGTCTTCCACTGCCTCCCGCAGTTTGGTCAGACTCATGCTGGTGGCTTCGAGAACACTGTCCCACCATCTCGTCCTCCGTCGTCCCCTTCTCCTTGCGCCCTCCATCTTTCCCAACATCAGGGTCTTTTCCAGGGAGTCTTCTCTTCTCATGAGGTGGCCAAAGTCTTGGAGCCTCAGCTTCAGGATCTGTCCTTCCAGTGAGCACTCAGGGCTGATTTCCTTCAGAATGGAGAGGTTTGATCTTCTTGCAGTCCATGGGACTCTCAAGTGTCTCCTCCAGCACCAGAATTCAAAAGCATCCATTCTTCGGCCATCAGCCTTCTTTATGGTCCAGCTCTCACTTCCATACATCACTACTGGGAAAACCGGAGCTTGAACTATACGGACCTTTGTTGGCGAGGTGATGTCTCTGCTTTTTAAGATGCTGTCTAGGTTTGTCATTGCTTTTCTCCCAAGAAGCAGGCGTCTTTTAATTTCGTGGCTGCTGTCACCATCTGCAGTGATCATGGCGCCCAAGAAAGTAAAATCTCTCACTGCCTCCATTTCTTCCCGAGTTAGAGAGGGATCCCCACAAAGTTCTCTAGCCCACCCCCCGCCAATGCAGGCGTCACACCTAATTCCCGTGACTACAACATCATTTTCTTTTCTTTTTAAATAGATTTTATTTTTTAAAAAATTGGGGGGAAATGCCACCGTTAATGTCAGATACCTTTTCATCCAAACTGAAAAGTTAACCTAAATCAAAACGTAGACCAGGAAGAGAAAATGGGTGGGGAAGGGGAAGGGAAAAGAAAAAAGGTAAGAAAGAGAAAAGAAAAAGAGAGAACTTCTGATTTTTTCATCTGTCAGCTATAAGCAGAAAATTATTCAACGCATCACTCCCAACAAATCCACTTTCTATAAACCTTATCTTCAATCTTCAAACCCAGATATTTTCCTTTTCATGTAAAAAGCCTATACGATAAGAAGTTTCCAATCTTTAGTAAATGTTGGCGATGGTTTTTCTCTGATTAAACACGTCAACTTCGCCATCTCGGCTAGGTCCAATCATTTTAAACCAGCCATTCCTCCGTGGTAGGTAATGATGAATTTTCCCATCTTTGTGTATATAAGTGTCTCACGGCTTGTATTCATATACAGTGGTACCTCGGGTGACATACGCTTCAGGTTACAGACTCCGCTAACCCAGAAATAGTGCTTCTGGTTAAGAACTTTGCTTCAGGATGAGAACAGAAATCGTGCTCCGGCGGTGCGGCGGCAGCAGGAGGCCCCATTAGCTAAAGTGTTGCTTCAGGTTAAGAACAGTTTCTGGTTAGGTACGGACCTCCGGAACGAATTAAGTACTTAACCCGAGGTACCACTGTATCGAAATAAAGTTCCATAGTCTTTTTTTCTAATTGTGTAGCTATAAGTCCCAGCAGGAGGAGTTCTGGTTTCAGCCAACCAACTCTACAACATCCTTTACGGGGCAAGGAGACCCAGAACTGCACACACAGTGCTCCAAATACAGTCGGGCCATAGATTCGAATCATGCCATTGTTCGATGTTGGCAGTTTTACGTTCGATCCCTCGCACGTAATCTTCCTTTCTTCACGTCTGCCGCCCCCTGAGCCTCCTATTTCTCCCGCTTCCTGTTCAACCTCCCCCCAAACACACAGTGACGCCCCCTCTTCTTTCCCCCTCCAGGTCTCAAGCGGCTGACGGGTCAGGTGGATGTGACCGCAGCTCTGACAGAGATGAAGGAGGAAAAGCGGAGGATGGATTTGGAGCGCAAAGTCTCCATCGCGCAGCTCTTCCGCTGCCGCATCTACCGCCAGCCCCTACTAATCGCCGTGGTCTTGCAGCTCTCGCAACAGCTCTCTGGCGTCAACGCGGTGAGTTTGCTGCAGGGGGAGGAAGAATCACAGAACTGTCGAGTTCTAAGGGACCCCAAGATATCATCTACTCCAGCCCCCCGCAATGCTGGAATCTCAGCCGAAGAATCCCTGACACACAACCTCTGCTCAAAATTCTCCAACCAAGGAGAGCCCACAAACCTCCGAAGGAGTCCGTTCCACCGCCGAACGGCTCTTACCGTGAGAGGGACGTGGGTGGCGCTGTGGTCTAAACCACGGAGCCTCTTGGGCTTGCCGATTGGAAGGTCGGCGGTTCGAATCCCCGCGACAGGGTGAGCTCCCGTTGCTCTGTGCAAGCTCCCGCCAACCTAGCAGTTCGAGAGCACGCCAGTGCGAGTAGACAAATAGGTACAGTCATACCTTGGGTTACAGACGCTTCAGGTTGCGTTTTTTCGGGTTACAGACCTGCCGAAACCCGGAAGTACCAGAACGGGTTACTTCCGGGTTTCGAGGGTCGTGCATGCACAGAAGTGCTAAATTGCGCTTTGCGCATGCACAGAAGTGCCAAATTCCAACCCATACGTGCGCAGACATGCCACTGTGGCTTGCATCGTGCATGGATCACATTCGCAACCCGAGCGTCCACTGTACTGCTGCGGCGGGAAGGTAAACGGCGTTTCCGTGCGCTCTGGTTTCCGTCACGGTGTACTGTTGCGCCAGAAGCAGTTTAGTCCTGCTGACCGCATGACCCGGAAAGCTGTCTGCGGACAAACGCCGGCTCCCTCGGCCTGAAAGCAAGATGAGCGCCGCAACACCATAGTCGCCTTTGACTGGACTTAACTGTCCATGGGTCCTTTACCTTTTTTACTGTGAGAAAGTTCTTCCTAAGGTTTAGTCAGGATCTCCTTTCTCGCGATGGTTCAGATCCTACCTTCTGGAGCAAGAGAAAACAAGTTTGCTTTGCTCCCCATTCTCAAAGAGGGGGGCAGCTGCCTCCCTCCAGTCTGCAGGGACCTCCCCAGTTCTCCAAGAATTCTCAGGGATTATAGACAGAGGCTCTGAGATGACACCTGCAAGTTCCTTCGGCACCCTTTGAAGGAATGGGTTTCCCAAACCCCCAAACTGACTGTGCAGGCAGTTTGAAACTTCACCAAAATCCCTATTTTTCCTTAGCTAAAATGCTTTAACTTGAGCTCTTGAGACGAAACCCAGCTGTATAGAGCTGTGCTCGGAGCCCTCTCCTTTATCAGTTTGTGACGGCAAGTATGGCCTTGACTGTACCAGTAGAACAGAGAAGACACGTCTGTGCCTTATCCTGCGTCCTGACCACAAAAGCGCACAGACCCGGTCTGGGAATAGCGCCAGAGTGTGTTCTTGGAGATGATGACCTCTTGCTCCATAAGAGTAGGAACAGGAAGATCCTTTTATGGTCAGAAGTACAGGAAGGAATACCCTTTTATGGTTAAGAATAACAGAGCAGGAACATATGTGATGTCAACCTGCGTACATAGGCTGACGTGGTTGGATTCCTGGGGAAGGAGGGAGAGGGTGCCTGGAGGATATATATACTGCATGAAATTTCTCATTTCTTTGGACTTGCTGTGGACTGACCATGCAAGTGCCTTCTGCTATCCGGAGAGCAGAATAAACTCTTTCTTTGAACCAACCTCGGTGTCATTTGACTTCCTTCCTCCTGTCCGGCAGCAACACAGACCCAGTCGGTGAACTCCAATAAGGCTACACCTTGGGTGCAGCTCATCAGGCCCTGGAGATTTAAAGCAGCTATTCCTTTCGCATCTCTGTTCCTCTCTTGGGCCATAGCTCCCTCCCTGCATCACTCTATTCCAGATTGTTTTCGTTTTTGGGTAAAAAAAGAGACAAAGTAGGTGTTGAGCAATTAAGAAGGTGTTGAACAGGAGCAGGAGAGGAAGTGGAATTTTTTGTGGGGGGTGTTAGATGGCTCTGAAGGGGGCAGACATGGTCCACCCATGAGGCAAGATGTCTTGGGCCAGCCCTGCTGGGGGACACTGTCATTTGACCGCTCTCTCTCTCTGTCCTCTCAGATATTCTATTACTCGACCGACATCTTCAAAAAGGCCGGCTTGGACAAACCCATCTTCGCCACCATCGGGGCTGGCGCCGTGAACACGGTGTTCACCGTCGTTTCGGTAAGAAGCTCCCGCCGCTGTATCCGTGCCCAGCAAATCTCTCTCTCTCTCTCTCTCTCTATATATATATATAATTATTATTTTGCTCTATAAGACTCACTTTTTCCCTCCAAAAAAGTAAGGGGAAATGTGTGTGCGTCTTATGGAGCGAATGCAGGCTGCGCAGCTATCCCAGAAGCCAGAACAGGAAGAGGGGTTGCTGCTTTCACTGCGCAGCGATCCCTCTTGCTGTTCTGGCTTCTGAGATTCAGAATATTTTTTTTCTTGTTTTCCTCCTCCAAAAACTAGGTGCGTCTTGTGGTCTGGTGCATCTTATAGAGCAAAAAATATGGTATGTTTGACTTAAGAAAATTATACAGACAGCAAAACGAAGAAGCCTAAATTAACATTGCCTTCTACCGATAAGAAATAATAATAACTATTACAATAATGAAAATACTAAAAATACAGTTACTTCCCCTTTTGAACCTCTATTCTGGTTACAATATATTACTATTCTACAATAATCTATTATATCCTTTGCTGTCCCATATATTATTTTATTTCCCAAATTCAACCTAACCCTCCCCTCCTCCCCACTGCTTTCCTTCACCCGTGTGAGTTCTTCCCATCATAATATTTTTTCTAGTTGCGTTAATAAAATAGAATAGCATGAAAACTGTTAAATTATAATTACTTCTTTTGTCCTTACATGCTTAACAATTGCCAATTAAGAGTTCTGCTTTAACACCATATTTCTTTGTATTCCCCTATGCATTCCCATTCTGTATAGAATTTTTGATTGGAGCAGAACCCTGATAGATGCAGTCATTTTTGCCCGGCCAATCTTTATACGCATTTAATAAAAGGTAATAATAGCAATAAGGGACGGGGGTGGTGCTGTGGGTTAAACCACAGAGCCTAGGACTTGCCAATCAGAAGGTCGGCGGTTCGAATCCCCGCCATGGGGTGAGCTCCCGTTGCTCGGTCCCTGCTCCTGCCAGCCTAGCAGTTCGAAAGCACGTCAAAGTGCAAGTAGATAAATAGGTAGCGCTCCAGCAGGAAGGTAAACGGCGTTTCCGTGCGCTGCTCTGATTCGCCAGAAGCGGCTTAGTCATGCTGGCCACATGACCCGGGAGCTGTACGCCGGCTCCCTCAGCCAATAAAGCGAGATGAGCGCCACAACCCCAGAGTCGGCCACGACTGGACCTGGTGGTCAGGGGTCCCTTTACCTTTAATAATAGCAATAACAGTGCATTGGGAACATAAAAGGAATTCCCCTGCATCAGGCCAGTCGCCCACCTAGCCCACCATCCTGTTCTCACAGGGGCCAGCCAGAGAGGCCTGTGGGAAAACCGCAAGCAGGATTCGAACTCAAGAGCACCTGTATGGTTTCCAGCAACTGGTATTCAGAAGCGTTGTGCCATAGCCAGTGTGGCTCGCAGTCTTTGATAGCTCCCTCCTGGATGAATTCGTCCGTTCCTTTCAAAGTTGGTGGCCGTGACTGCCCCTTGTGGGAGGGAGTTCCACAGTTTAACTAGGTTCTGCATAATATCTGCCCTCCTTGTTGAGAAGGGTTAGGGTCCCCACTTCTGCTCCCTTCCCCCATCCCAGTGAGGACAGTTAAAATCAGGGGTCAGCAAACTTTTTCAGCAGGGGGCTGGTCCTCTGTCCCTCAGACCTTGTGGGGGGCCGGACTATATTTTGAAAAAAACATGAACGAATTCCTATGCCCCACAAATAACCCAGGGATGCATTTTAAATAAAAGGACACAGTCTACTCATGTAAAACACGCTGATTCCCAGACCGTCTGCGGGTTGGATTGAGAAGGCGATTGGGCTGGATCCGGCCCCCGGGCCTTAGTTTGCCTACCCATGGGCTAAATGCATCTATGGGGCTGTTAAGGTGGCTGAACAGGACTTCACAGAAATTGTTGTTGTTGTCGTCATCTTATATCCTGCCCATCTAACTAGGTTGCCCCAGCCACTCTGGGCAGCTTCCAACAGAATATAAATGAACACAACAAAACATCAAACGTTAAAAGCTTCCCTAAACAGGGCTGCCTTCAGATGTCTTCTAAAAGTCAGATAGTTGTTTGTTTCCTTGACATCTGGTGGGAGGGCGTTCCATAGGGCGGGCGCCACCACCGAGAAGGCCCTCTGCCTGGTTCCCTGTAACCTCACTTCTCGCAGTGAGGGCCAGAAGGCCCTCGGAGCTGGACCTCAGTGTCCAGGCTGAACGATGGGGGTGGAGATGCTCCTTCACGTATACAGGGCTGAGGCTGTTTAGTTGAAAAAGTCCCCGAGGGTCATTGGTTCACAACCATTATAAGCGATAAATAACTACCTGACATTCAGAAGACATCTGAAGGCAGCCCTGTTCAGGGAAGTTTTTAATGTGTGATATTTTAGTGTATTTTTGGTTTCTATGGAAGCCGCCCAGAGTGGCTGGGGAAACCCAGCCAGATGGGCGGGGTACAAATAATATATTATTATTATTATTATTATTATTATTATTATTATTATTATTATTATTACCCATGGGGCAACTGTGATACCTCTTCTTCCCTCTGGACCAGCGGTTCTCAACCTGTGGGTCCCCAGATGTTGTTGGACTACAACTCCCATCATTCCTGACCATTGGGCCATGCTGCCTGCTGGGAGTTGGAGTCTACCAATCTCCAGAAGGAGACACTGGTTGCCTCCTGTTCTGCAAGGCCTTTGAGTGCCTGAATCCCCCTCTTTTTAATTTTTCTCAATGTTCCCTCAGTCCCCTTCTCCACCTCTTTCTCACGACCATCTTCATCTTTTCTTTCCTTTTTAAAAATGATTTTTATTAAATTTTCCACTTTTATCATAATCACATTTTGTTACATAATTTCATAACTTGATACATTACTCTGTAAGAGCATCGACCTCCTTCCCTCCCTCTTTCTGACTTCCACACACCTTTCTATATTCTCCGCATTTCTATAATCACATGTTTACCTTTTAACTTATTATAATATTTCAGCTTATTATCGTTAAATCACTTCCTTATATTTACATTACAAAACATTTCAATTCAAACCTACAAACCTTTTCAGATGTTTACAATTTTCTTTCATATAAAGTATAAATTTGTTCCAGTCCTTTTGAAACAGTTTGTCACGCTGATTCCGGATCTTCCCTGTCAGCTTGGCCATCTCTTTTCTGCCTTTTCCATTTTTGAGCCATGAGTATCCTTGCAGCCGTTGTGGCACACATAAACATATTTACATCTCTTTTATGTATTTCTTCTCCCATTAAACCTAATAAAAATGCCTCTGGTTTTTTGTTAAAGTTACATTTTAAAACCTTTTTCAATTCATTATATATTATGTCCCAGAAGGCTTTCAAATTAGAGCAAGTCCACCACATATGGAGAACATTCCTCTCCTTCTCCTTACATTTTCAACAACTTTTGTCTTGGTTTCTATACATTTTAGCGAGTTTGGCAGGTGTAATGTACCATCGATACATCATCTTAAATATATTTTCTTCATCTTTCTCTGCCCAGGTGTTCCTGGTGGAGCGAGCCGGCAGGCGGACCTTGCATATGCTAGGATTGGCGGGAATGGCCGTGTGTGCCATCCTTATGACAGTGGCCCAGGGCTTGACGGTGAGTAACTGGGCAGAGGACATAGTCCTTCATCGGGCCTAGGACAGCTTTCACCCGGCTGGCACCCTCCAGCTACTTTGGACTACAAATCCCATCATCCGTAGCCAGCATTGCGCTGGCTCTGGATGATGGGATTTGTAGTCCAAAACAGCTGGAGAGCACCAGGGTGCCCTAAGCCTATCCAATGTTGATTTGACTCATCTTCTGTTGGGGCTATTTCATCTGTGGGTCATTGTTTCAGCTCTCGCATACAGGGCCGGATTTAGGTTTGATGAGGCTCTAAGCTACTGAAGGTAATGGGGCCCTTTATATGTCCAGCTGTCCTTTGTCAACAACAAATTGTCATTTTTGTGTGTGTTAAATATATGCTATATGGTAAGGTTACCAGCCAGTCCCCGGATTTACAAATCAGTCCCCCATTCAGAATCCATTGAAGTTGAAAAATGTCCCCGGATTCATTGAAAAAAATCTGGTGACCTTACTATATGGTAATTTATGGACCTACTAGGTATCTAAAGCCATTTGCACACAACGAAATATGTATTTTATCAAAGTAATTGTTACAACCAGTCCATGCAGAATGTAGGCACCCTATATATAGAAAGGAGCAAACCAGTGATATTTTAGGGAGCAGGTGAGCAGGTGGGGCCCATGACTGACATCTAGGAGCCTACACAACACAAAACACTGTTGCTGTTTGTAGGTTTCATTTTATTTGTTTTTTTTATCTTATATTTTGGAAATGTACATCCAGGTTGTTGTTTTCCTTTACATTTTTTTGGGGCCCCCAAGAGAGTGGGGCCCTAAGCTATAGCTTGTTCAAAGGTAAAGGGACCCCTGACCATCAGGTCCAGTCGTGGCCGACTCTGGGATTGTGGCGCTCATCTCGCTTTATTGGCCGAGGGAGCTGGCGTACAGCTTCCGGATCATGTGGCCAGCAGGACTAAGCCGCTTCTGGCGAACCAGAGCAGGGCATGGAAACGCCGTTTACCTTCCCGCCGGAGCGGTACCTATTTATCTACTTTGATGTGCTTTTGAGCTGCTAGGTTGGCAGGAGCAGGGACCGAACGACGGGAGCTCACCCCGTCGCTGCGGGGATTCGAACCGCCGACCTTCTGATCGGCAAGTCCTAGGCTCTGTGGTTTAACCCACAGCGCCGCCCGCGTCCCTTATAGCTTGTTTAGCTTATACGTAAATCTGGCACCGCTCGCATATGCCTTGGACATAAAAGGCAAGATACTAGGGCGGAGAGGGTATCCCTGGCTTTTGCCATTGATTTCATCTTCCTAGTTTTAAAGTAGAATATTTTACGTATGCATACGGCACTTTTGGTCACGAGAGGGTTGACGCAGCGCCTCCCGTTTCTCTCCACGCACCACAGGACCGTGTGCCGGCAATGAGCTACCTCAGCATGGTGGCCACCTTTGGCTTTGTGGCGTTCTTTGAGATTGGCCCGGGGCCAATACCCTGGTTCATTGTGGCGGAGCTCTTCAGCCAAGGTCCCCGCCCGGCTGCAATGGCTGTGGCCGGCTTCGCCAACTGGACTTGCAACTTCATCATTGGGATGAGCTTCCCCTCGATCGAGGTGAGTTTCAGCCGCTAGCCTGCCTCAGAATCATAGAACTGTAGAGGGTTTTTGGGGTACCCCCAGGGGTCATCTAGTCCAACCCCCTGTGTTCGTGAGCAGGATTGCACGTTGCCTGGTGCCTGAAAGCAGAGCCGGGCATCAAATGGAAAGGAATGTGACACCCAGAATTCAGAGGATCTTCACTCTCACTTGTGGGGTGCCTCAGGGTTCTGTCCTCTCCCCCATGCTTTTCAACATCGACATGCAGCCGCTGGGAGAGATCATCAGGGGGTTTGGGCTGGGTGTCCATCAATATGCGGATGACACCCAGCTCTACCTCTCTTTCAAATCAGAACCAGTGAAGGCGGTGAAGGTCCTGTGTGAGTGTCTGGAGGCGGTTGGAGGATGGATGGCAGCTAACAGATTGGGGTGGAATCCTGACAAGACAGAAGTGCTATTTTTGGGGGACAGGAGACGGGCAGGTGTGGAGACTCCCTGGTCCTGAATGGGGCAACTGTGCCCCCAAAGGACCAGGTGTGCAGCCTGGGAGTCATTCTGGACTCACAGCTGTCCATGGAGGTGCAGGTCAATTCTGTGTCCAGGGCAGCTGTCTGTCAGCTCCATCTGGTACGCAGGATGAAACCCTATCTGCCTGCGGACTGTCTCGCCAGAGTGGTGCATGCTCTGGTTATCTCCCGCTTGAACTACTGCAATGCGCTCTGCGTGGGGCTACCTTTGAAGGTGACCTGGAAACTACAACTAATCCAGAATGCGGCAGCTAGACTGGTGACTGGGAGCGGCCGCCGAGACCACATAACACCAGTCTTGAAATACCTACATTGGCTCCCAGTATGTTTCCGAGCACAATTCGAAGTGTTGGTGCTGACCTTGAAAGCTCTAAACGGCCTCGGTCCAGTATATCTGAAGGAGCGTCTCCACCCCTATCGTTCTGCCCGGACACTGAGGTCCAGCTCCGAGGGCCTTCTGGCTGTTTCCTCACTGCGAGAAGCCAAGTTACAGGGAACCAGGCAGAGGGCCTTCTCGGTAGTGATGCCCGCCCTGTGGAACGCCCTCCCATCAGATGTCAAGGAGATAAACAACTATCTGACTTTAAGAAGACATCTGAAGGCAGCCCTGTTTAGGGAAGCTTTTAATGTTTAATAGGTTATTGTATTTTAGTGTTCTGTTGGAAGCCACCCAGAGTGGCTGGGGAAACCCAGCCAGATGGGTGGGGTATAAATAATAAATAATTACTATATTATTATTATTATTATTATTATTATTATTATTATTATTATTTCAGACACGTGGTTTATATACTTATGTATGTGTTTGCCTTGTACATTTATGGACATTTATTTTAAATTTGAGACCTTAGAATTCTTATAACTGGGTGGTTTCCCCATCCTCGGAGGCTCAGGGGGTGACGCGTCCGAGAACAGGGCCTTCTCTGTGGCGGCCCCTAAGCCGTGGCGCTCTGAGGTCCTGCGCCGTGCGAGACCTGGCAGGGCTACAGTTTCTCACGCTCTCCTCTTCCTCCTCCTTGCAGGGAGCCCTCCACTCGTACGTCTTCCTCATCTTCGCAGCCCTTCTCTTCGTGTTCTTGATCTTCACGTACATCAAGGTTCCCGAGACGCGAGGCCGCACCTTTGACCAGATCGCCGCTACATTCCGACGGACGCCATCTTTGCTAGAACGAGAGATCAAGCCGTACACGGAACTGGACGAACTGAGCCCGGACGCCCACGAATGATAGGGTTTTGGGCAGGCGGCGAACCCTAGCGCCCAAAAGGCACGGCGAATGTGGACCGTGGTGTTCAGGGTAACTGGCAAGAGGTACCAGGATCTGCCTAGCACTTTAATGGTGCCACAAGCCTTACCGGCGCGTGGTCAGAGTTGAACCCTATTTTTTTCTTTGTTTTCATTAGGTCAGTTTTTAGCCTGGATGTGTTTTTAACTTCTTTCCCTTTTTTTAAGAAAGAAAGGAAAAACATTAATAAAAAGCAGGGTGGGCATTGTGGGGCGTGGGGGACACAAGGCCCCTCGCCCCGCTTCCCTTGTTTCGGAGGACAAGAAGCTTGTGGCGTCGAGCCAGGAGCCACGAGTTCCGATTCTGTAAATAAAGGATTGTGGGGGATTTGCACTGAGAGCGGACAGGGGGCTGACGTGCTGTCGAGATCCAGGAAACGCATTCTCCCCAAAAGCAAAGTTCAGAGGCTGAATTTGAAAAGGGGACGGTGGGCGGTGGGGTGGAAGTAATAATTCTGAGGACAGCGACTAAATTAATCTTCTCACCAATTTTCGGGTTATTTATATGCTGACTCCATTTCCGCATCGAGCCGGGGCTCAGCCCTGACTTACACAAGCAGCTGTTGCAGCTGAGGAAAAGAGTGCCCCAGAACATGTGCCGAGTTCTTTTCCCGCTCACACCCTAAGGAGCCACGCTCAGGCCTGTCCCATCACCCACTTTTGGGGTGTGGGGAGGGGTCAGGGCATTTAGGCCCGGCCCATCTCCTTCTAGAAATTAAGAACTGGAGGGTGGGTAGGAATAAAAACATCCTTGAATGCTCATGGAGAGGTAATATGGTCAGTAGTGGTCTCAAGCCCCCCCCCCCGAAAAAAACCATTTTCGTCTGCACCGTGGTTGCCTAGCAACAGCAGCAATGGCTGCCCTGGCCGTGTTTAGCGACCACCATGTGTGTTGCCTAAACGCTCCTTTGTTGAGGACTCTGTGGCAGGGTGAAGTAGGGCAGGGAGATTAGAATACGGTTTTGGGAACTGTAGTTTTCTAATGGTTTCGAGTCATTGGGGGAAAAAAAACCCAGGTCCATTCCCAGAGTGGTTTCACAATCAATTCCTCTTCATGGAGGACTCTGGGAAATGTAGTTCCAAGACAAGGACTGGGGGGGTCTCCTAATGACGCTCAGCATCTGTTACAAACTACAGCTCCCAGGATCCTTTGGGGCGGCCATGACTGTTTAAATTGGTATCAGTTGTGTTTTCAACATTGTATAGTGTGACTGTGGCCTAAGAGTAGGTGCAGGGAGGAGGATATGTCACCCATTCTCCAGCTTTGAATGTCAAGGCCATCTCGAGGGATGCCCCCAACAGCTTATTCTGCAGTTCTGGAACTCCCTCCCTGCAAGGAATATTAAACCACCGGCAAAGCCACTTGCAAAGGATGGAACAGCAATCGCTTCCCCCCAGAACACCCCGGGAATTAAGTTTTCTAGCGGTGTTGAGTTTTCTTTGGCAGAGCTGCCTGGTCTCGTGGTTGCTTTGGTTAGCGTGTCGGCGCAGAGAAATGCAAACCGCCACACGCCATGAATAAACCAAGAGGTCTCACTATGGGCAGAATCTAAAGTTACGTGGGTGGACTTCCTCTTGTGTAACGGGATTTCGCCTCCTTCCATCTACTCCAGAGGGTCCCGCAAACCTTCCAGAGCAGATTGTGAGGAAGCAGGGAGAAGATGGTGACATTCCCATCATGGAAGCCTGTTGCTCTCGAGAGCGCATGGACAGCGCATAGAACCCTGTGGTTTACAGGGCTCTATGGATGGTCCATAGCAGTTCAAAAAGGCTTATCGTGTGAAGAAGAGAATCTGCGGCAGGGATGTCCCCTTCCTTTATTTCAGTGTGGCTTGCTTACAAATTAAGGGTCACATTTTTAAAAAAAACACTCAATCTTAGGTGAGTTCATCCTCTATTATTGCCAACTGATTAATGTTCTCAGTTAGATTCCAAACGTATAGTTTGGTTTTCTGGAAGGTGAAAAGGTAATTTGCTTGCAAAATGAAAACAGGGGAGAGAAAACCAGGAAGGCCTCTTGGTCCATTGCAACCTGAGCTGGTGGGAAGTTGTAGTCTTAAATTATCCGAAGGGCACCAGGTTGAGAAAGGCTGGTGTACATGTCCACTGTCTTAAAATGGCAATAGCACTCACCTGAGAGGTGCCGGAACAGAATTCCAACTGGAAAAATGTCCTGGCCTCACCAGTTACGAAGCCCAACCCCACACCCTACCTCAAGGGCAATATTTGGGAAGGTGAAATAACAAGTTCTCTTCTAGGCAGAACAGCTGCAAGGAAATGTATTTATATCGTTTGGCATTAATCGTAAATGGCAAGTATTAAACCGCAGGGAACCTGGATAACCCAGTCGTTTTCAGGTATTGCCAGACTGGTTTGAAACCATTGGCGGTTTTCACCCTAAGCCTCGCAAGGACATCTTTGAAAACACGCTGAGCGTGGGAACACAGGGTTTCCTGGCTGGGAGCGATGGAAATTATAAAGGGATTTTAATGTTGTAGAACAGGCCGTGTGAAGCTGTGCCATCGGAGTCCACATCATCTTACAAATCCAGACCTGAACACGTGTAGTGAACTTTCTAGTGGTTTGAGCTTTGCACTGATTCTTCAGCACTTTTTACCGCGGCACTTAAACCCCAAGAGGGCTAGGACGACTTTTCTATTAAAGGTGGGCTTTTAAAACAAGAGCAAACGGACTGCATCACTCCATAGGCTACGTTAGCCACCCAGCACTCAAAATACTAAATGGAAGCAAGAAAGGGGGGAAAAGGGACGCCCACTTTGTAAAAAGGGTTTCCCTTGGGACTGTGCAAAGGATTCTGTTTTCTGTGTATTTAATCGGAGGAAGAGACTCTCGAGATTACAGGCATGTTTGTGTGTGCGTGCGCATGTTAATGTTTGTATTTCCAAGAAAAAAATATTTGTATATAAAGAATAGACTTATATGGCTGTTGCTTGCTTTACATTACTTCTCTCCAGTTCTAAATATTTAATGCATAAGCAATCTGTTCCAAAAAGTAAAAGGAACAGGATAGTTCAAAATGCCACACAGATAACATGGGAGTTGAGTCTGTGCTGATCGCGCAGCTATTTCTTAATATTTTCCTTCTCCAAAGTCTGAATCCTAGCACTCGGTAGCTAGAGAGAAGGGCCTTCCAACTGCCCCTGCTTTTCTGGAAAGGTTAACAATGCCACAAGCTTCTTTGGTGAGTGATCACTTCATCACTGTGACCTGTTCCTCAACTTTCAAGGAGTATTTTGCCCTATGTTGCACAACTCCCTTTTTTGCTCAAGCCCAGGGGTCAGCAAACTTTTTCAGCCGTGGGCCGGTCCACTGTCCCTCAGACATTGTGGGGGGGGGACTATATTGGGGGGGGTGAACGAATTCCTATGCCCCACAAATCACTCAGAGATGCATTTTAAATAAAAGGACACATTCTACTCATGTAAAAACATGATTCCCGGACCATCCGTGGGCCAGATTTAGAAGGTGATTGGGCTGGATCTGGCCCCTGAGCCTTAGTTTGCCTACCCCTGCTGAAGCCCATTGCTGGACGTCTTTTTTGCATATGAGCAAAGAAACTGGCTGTACTCTCCCATCCCCAAAAGTCAGATTTTGCCAAGGAGAGAGCAACAGAGGTTGTTTTGCTGGGCCTTTACAGTACATGAAGATACGGGGTTGTTTTGGCTTAAGCCATGTCACCGGCCCATGTACTCTAGCGGTGTCTACTTGAATTAATGGCAGCTCCCATGTCTTAACTGGAGGCTGAATCTGAGACTTCCTGCATGCAAACAGCACCCTCTACTCCTAAACTAAGGGACTTAAAATTGAGATTATCCCCAAAAAAATGATGTTTCAGTTATACTGGACTCCACAATGTCTTTACAGAAAGGCATTATTTATTACTGGTAGATGCTGGAAGTTCAAAGCTGCAAATGCCATGTTGAGGCGTATGATGTGGGCATGTCCAGTGAGATCTTCAAGATGTTGACAATGACACAAGAACCTCGGAGTGGATCAGACCAAAGACCCATGAAATCTAGTATTCTGTTCCCATGGTGAGCAGTCAGCTGCTTCTGGGACGCATGCAAGCAGAACCTCAAGAACTGGTATTCAGAAGTAAACTCTAATGAGGACATCTAACCATCACAGCTAGTAGACACCAACAGCCCTGTCTTCCATGATTTTGTCTTAATTCCCTTTTTAAAGCCATCCAACTGTGCTCACACTATCGATTTGTGGTTTTATCTATGCACTGTTGGAAAACAGTAGTTCCTTTTGCCTGTCCCAACATTCGGATTCCTTGGTTGACCTTCCTTGGGTTCTGGAAAAGGAGACAAACTTTTCACTTTCCCCAAGCCATACATAATTTTTTACATCTCTTATCAGGTCAACCCTTGCTCACTTTTCCAAATTAAAAGTCCCAAATGTTCCAGCCTTTCCAGTTCCTTCCACAATGCCATCTCTGAGATGCAGAAACTACAACTGTACAGAGTGTTCCAAGCATTACCACACCATAGATTTAATGAATTACAATATTGGCAGTTTTATCTTTGATCTTTTGCCTAATGCTCCCTAACAGAGCTTGCTATGTGTATATCTGAAGCTGAATCCTTTTTTTGCCCCAATGTGCATTACTTTTATTATCATAATCAATTATTAATTGCTTTCTAAACAACCGTCTCAAAGTGATGCATACTAAATTTAAAAATAGTTTAAATTGAGCCACATTTTAATACCTGCCCACCCAGTTTAGAGATCCTTTTGAAGCACTTCACAATCCCTTCATTTTTTTCAACTTTGATTTATTTGCATTGGACACTGCTGACCTCTAAACTCCAGATCTATGAATGTTAAAAATCATAAATCCAAATTCAGATCCTTGGGGCACCCCACTTCTTACAGCCCTCCATGGGCAGAACTGCCCATTTAATTCTACTCCTACTTTAAGAAGACCTGTTATCCGATCCCATGGCTGTGAAATTTGGTGAGGAGTCTTTTGGGCTTCCAAAAAGCTTTTGACAAGTACACAACAGGTGGCATTCAGCCAAGTCCTCAGAGTAAAGCCACTGAAATTAATGAACCTAAGATAGTAATGTCCATTAACGACACCAGGCTAGACAGGACTTCCCTTTGCAGAAGTGATGCCGATTCCTTTTCAGCAAGACTTCTGTTTCCTTGAAAATTTTGACTTTAATCAAAACATACGTTACGTTTCCCAGAACACACATTAAGCAAAATGGCCTGTAATATCCTGGGCTCCCTTTAGATTAAAAAGAAACAACCACTTGTGTTACAGTGGTCACTTTCCTGTTTTCAGGTTCCAAAGCCAAACTTAAAGAGACAAGCTACGTATTTGGTGGAAGACCATAAATTTCACATTTGAGTTTTTAAGAACTCCAGGATAGGATATGTTTTGGACCAAGTGTATTGTTACCAACTGTGGTAAAACACACTGGACTTGGGCTTTGCTCCAGGAAAATGATTTTGGATGCTACCAGTGGTTACTTAGGTCTGATGCTTTCCTGCTCACCACATTAGCAGGAACAGCAACTTCCTTTCTACAGAAACACTCCCTTGGGAAGCAGTAAGTTAAGGAAATGTAAATTCCCTTTCATAGGCTGACGGAGTGTCCTGCTACTACAATAACCACTACATTACTGTCTGCACTTGAGGAAGTTAGGTGCCACCTTTCTAATAATTTAGAAGCCTCTTTTTAAAAAGCAGCCTAGTGTGGGGCTGGTGTTCCCTATGGCATTCTCCCGACTCCTGGACAATCTCTGACCTCTATCCATCCAAACATCAGTTGCGGCCCCTCTGCATAGTACTAAGCAAGCAGCAACACTTGGTGCCAGGAACTATTCTCCGCTTCCTCCAAGTTATTTTTAAGTATTATGGGGTAGGTCTTAGGATTTTTTAAGAAGAAAACACAAGGGACACAAAGTCTGTGCAATTTTTCTTTTTACTGACGCCCAAACTGCACACAATAGTTCACACAGGGTGTTCTTCAACAATGGGGGAGAAAAAAGTAACTGAAGATTCAACAGCCAGTTTATTTTTCTCAAACTGGCAAAGCTGTGGGAAGAGGGAAGACAAACCCCTCAGAAGGTTTTTAAAGCAAAGCGAGTTATCTTTTTGGTCAAACTCCCCCCCTCGGGTTTACTAATTTTTTTTTTCACATTCAGGGCTTCAACAGCAGCAAAGGGGGTATTGGTGAAGTTTGGGGTCTCTTCAAGTGCAGGATGAGGTAACTTGGGTTGTAGGCACATTGAGGACACCTGTGGAGGGGGAAAGATGTGGTCAGAGGCAGAAGGAGAAGCTGGAAGCAGCAGCCTTCAGGGAGCAGAAGTTGTGGGGATGCATTTGCAGAATAGGACATAGCGCTGCTATTCCCACAAGGTATATATCAAGCTCTACAGAAGTACAGACGTTATGGGGGCATAGTTCACACTGCAGGAATGCAAGTTTCAAGCATCAATGTTTCCCATAAGAAAACCTTGAAAATTGTAGTTTATGGTGAGAAACAGAAGTCAATCTGAATTTTCAGCAAGAAGTGTTAATCCCTCTTCTCAGAGATAACCCCTCAAGCCTCTCAAAGCATCCTCTTGTGCCTTTGAGAGCTTTGAATTAATTCAGGAGGTGTGACTTCTTTTGCCATGCAGCTCTTAAATGCTAAAAAGTTCCCTTTCAGAAGAGGCTGAAAACCAGAGATGGGGCCCAGCACATCTTGCCATCTTTACTTATTCTTCACTTCTGAAATCATATGCCCAGTGAAGCACTATGTCACAACAGTAGGGGAACCCAAAGGAAGGGGAAGAAAACTAGCTTGCTTCAGGGATTTAGAAGTTTCTATTCAGACTGTTTCCTAGCAGACGTAAGGCACACAAGCGCATCAAATTTGGAAATCTTAGACTGCTAACCTTTTAAGTCTCATCCAGCTATTAGCAGGGCTTGAGCCAATTCCTCTGGCTAACCCACCTCACAGGGTTGCTGTGAGGATAAAATGGGGAGGGGAGACCACTTATGCACTGCCTGTGTTCCTCGCATGGCACAATACAAATGTAATAAATCAACATCTCTGTTCAGTTTTAGCATTCCTGCCCAGGGGTCCTTACCAGATCACAGCTCTTGGCATCCCCTCACCGTGTGCAGGTTCATCACGCCAGTAGGGCTGGGGCCAGCTCTCCCCCAGGCTCAGGTGTTGAGATCTGCAAAGAAAAAAATAGCCCTGCTGACAAGCCTGTCCCTTTCTGTACTAATAACTTTGCTTCTCTGAAGTTAACTCACGGAGGACACCGTGTGGCAAAGGAAAACATGACAGAGGGCCAGAAACTTAGCCAGGGGTCAGCAAACTTTTTCAGCAGGAGGCTGGTCCACTGTCCCTCAGACCTTGTGGGGGGCCAGACTATATTCTGAAGAAAAAAGGGGGGGAAATCCCTATGCCCCACAAATAACCCAGAGATGCATTTTAAATAAAAGGACACATTCTACTCATGTAGAAACATGCTGATTCCTGGACCGTCCACAGGCCAGATTTAGAAGGCGATTGGGCCGGATCCGGCCCCTGGGCCTTAGTTTGCCTACCCATGGTCTTAGCCATATGCAGCATAGCATTTCGGGTTCCATAAACAGTGGTTCCTTGGGTTACAAACGCTTCAGGTTACAGTCTCCGCTAACCCAGAAATAGTACCTCGGGTTAAGAACTTTGCTTCAGGATGAGAACAGAAATTGTGCGGCAGCAGCAGGAGGCCCCATTAGCTAAAGTGGTGCTTCAGGTTAAGAACAGTTTCAGGTCAAGAACGGACCTCTGGAACGAATTAAGTACGTAACCAGAGGTACCACTGTACTGACAGAAGATGCAGCCTGCGTTAACCAGAATTCATGCACCTTGGTTTACAACAGGGAGAGGCAAAACCTGTGCCGCCTCCCCACATGCCGTAGGACTGCAACTCCCTACAGCCCCTGTCCAGGAACATCTCTGATTCGAATAGGGCTTGCTTGCTTCTGTGAATTTGTCCTGGGAATGGAGGACTCAAAGGGAACTCAGGGCCTTTCTCTGCCAGCATCTACTTACATCCACAAGCTGTTGCTGGATCTCCGGCAGCGGCTGGGAGGGACTCTCCTGGGCTGGGGAAGCAGGCTTGCTGGCTTCCACCACTGCTTCTTGAGCCATCGCAGGTGTGCTAGTGGCAGGGGTGTCTCCACCAGCAGCAGCAGAGCTCGGAGCAGGCTGCTCTTTGGTAGCTGTGGTAGCCTTAGGCAGGAAAAAAAGCGGGGTTAGGTTTCTGAATAGAGGTCGGCATTGACACGCAGGCCATTTTGATGTTCGGTAGTTGAATGCGCATGCAGAGTGCGCAGTTCCTCAGGATCTACAGAAACCTAGCTCAGTTTATGGATGCTCCTCACCTATGTCAAAGTAAGGCACAAGATCTTGCCCATCGCACAGCCCTTCTAAACAATGAGTGGGAGATTGGGATACTGAGAAAGAACGAGGCAGCTTTGCCACGTCAGCAAGGCAGAGATGATAATAATAATAATTTATTATTTGTACCCCGCCCATCTGCCTGGGTTTCCCCAGCTACTCTGGACGGCTTCCAAGAGACCAAAATACACTAAAATGTCACACATTAAAAACTTCCCTGAACAGGGCTGCCTTCAGATGTCTTCTGAATGTCAGGTAGTTATTTATCGCTTTGACATCTGCTGGGAGGGTGTTCCACAGGGCGGGTGCCACTACCAAGAAGGCCCTCTGTCTGGTTCCCTGTAGCTTTGCCTCTCGCAATGAGGGAACTGCCAGAAGGCCCTCAGTGCTGGATCTCAGTGTCCGGGCCGAACGATGGGGGTGGAGACGCTCCTTCATGTATACTGGGCCTTTGAGGCCGTTTAGGGCTTTAAAGGTCAGCACCGACACTTTGAATTGTGCTCGGAAACGTACTGGGAGCCAAGAGAGATTTCTTTCTTTAGCAGAACCCTGTTTGTATTGTTTACATTTCTTGCGAGGGTTGAGCATAGGAGCCATGGGTATAAATAAAGCTAATGGCAGGGGCACCTCCCCACCCCAGTAAAAAAGGAAAAAGAGGGAGTTGGAAGTGAAGGAGATTCGTTTTGCCTCCCTGCTTTGTAATATCCCACAGTTGGGACAAACAAATTTGGAAGTAAGCACTGGCTATTTTTTACCTCTTTTCAAATTACTTCTACTTCCATTTAGGAGAGAAGACTATAACCAGCCAGTTTCAAATCCCACAGCTTTAAGAAGTTTAACCCATGTTTACAGTGTACAGAACACATTGCTTTGTACATCTTTTAAGCCAATGGTTGCAGAATTATCTGGAGAGCTTTGGTGAGCAAGGTTCCTCCTGTTCAGAGTATTTGATGAACACTTGGGTTAATATAAAGAACCCACTCTCTTTAGATTATTTTTTATTTTATTTTTTTATTTCAACATATTTTATTATTCCAAAAAGCAAAAAACATCAAAAAAAGAAAAATCTCTTTAGATTATGTTTCACCAGGGGATGCCTTTATTTTTAACTGATGTGAGCTGCTTTGGGAGTTGCTCACTCTCTGAAACAAACAAAAAACGTAGCAAAGAAATACAAAAATAAATAGATAAGGCTTCCCGTCTGTCCCAGCCATTGAACTTTTAACAAATGCACTAAACAAGGCCGTGTTCTAGAGCTTCCAAAGTGACCAAGATGGAAGAACAGAGGCTGGAACTGATGGCCAGAGATCCCATCCTATCCATCAGTAGGATCAATCAGTAGTCCCTGGATCTCACCTCAGTTGCAGTCTGGCGGGCGGCAGCTGTTTGCTGGCGCCTGCGCTGGAAGTAAGGTCGGTTGCGCTGGCGCTGGGGCTCAGGACGGATGCCGTCCGCTGGGGCTTGTGCCGCCTTTGTCTCGCCATCTCCTCCCTCAGTGGTGGGCTGCTGCGGTGGGCGGGGGCGGAAAAGTCTGGAAAAGCAAAGGATAGTCACACTCTGCTTATGGAGCCTCCGCCTCCCAGATGAAATCAGGTCGCCCCTCACTCTGGCTATGTTCAGGCATAATTTGAAAACTCACCTGGGCATTCAGGTCTTTGGAGTATGGTTGGTCTCAGGGCTGTATTACCTGCTGCTGCTTTTATTGACGAAGATCAGTTTGTGGTTTAAAAGTTTTTTATAATTAACGTATTGTTTTAAGTGGTTAGCCACCCCATTCTCCCTTCTGGGACAAAGGGCATGATATAAAGAAGATAATGAAAACGTTAAAGACTTAGTGGCTGAAAGGAAGCAGGAAGTTATTTAGCAACATGGCTTAAGAACTTAAACAGGAAACTCCTTGTAAACAGTAGCTACTCAAATGGGAGGTGGGGGAGAAAAGCAATTGGAAGAGGCTGCAGATTTCAAAGCAGAATATGCATCTCCTCTTGAAACTGTTTTGAGATATTAGCAGAGTAGACCCTTTCCCATCCCTTTCAGAAATGCACCTTGCAGAGAGCTGTCGTTTCCAGCCTGGAAAATCAGAGGAGCTGCCATATACAGTCGTACCTTGGTTTTCGAACAGCTTAGTTCTCAAACGTTTTGGCTCCCGAACGCCGCAAACTGTTCTGGTTTGCGAACTACTTTTGGAAGCTGAACGTCCGATGGGGCTTCCGCGGCTTCCGATTGGCTGCAGGAGCTTCCTGCAGCCAATCAGAAGCTGCGCTTTGGTTTCCGAACATTTGGCAACGGACTTCCAGAATGGATTCCGTTTGACTTCCAAGGTACGACTGTACTCCCCTTATTCCTTTAAACACTATGCTGTTCCTTAAACGGTAGGGAAGGTTCTCTTGTGCATCAAGCATGTGAACAGCATACAAAGAGGACACCTGCCTAAATAACCCTACTCTTTGCTTTGATCATGTGGATATAGGTCCCCAGAAGGGATGTTGTGAAGGGAAAGATGGTTTGTAACTGAAATTACCAGCCTTGGTCTTACTGGTTGAAGTCACAAACATGACGGTGCTGCCTGCAGCTTTACCTGCGGTATCTGGGACGGAAGCGAGGGGCTGGGGCTCTCTCACCAGCCTGGATCTGCTGTTGCTGGTCTCCCTCTGGCTGGGTGGCATCTTTGGGTTCTGTGCTTTCACTGCCCTGAGGGAGAAATATCACAATGCCTTCACTTCCTCAGGGTGTTATCCCAAACTGCTCTTTCCCCTTAGGCCAGAAGAGCCACTTAGAACCATTGGTACAATACACCTGCAGCAAAGGATGGCAGGTGAACTAATGCCAGGGTACTGGAAGAAGCAAAGACCACCAGTGTCGAAGCGATGGTTCTTCAACATCAACTCCACTGGACTGGTCATGTTCAGATGTCCAATTATCGTCTTCCAAAGCAACTACTCTATTCTAAACTTAAAAATGGAAAGCGTAATGCTGGTGGTCAACAAAAGAGGTTCAAAGACTCTCAAGCCAAATCTTTATTATTATTATTAACACTGACAACTGGGAAACACTAGCCAGTGAGAGCTCCAATTGGAGAACAACCTTTACAAAAGGTGTCATGGGCTTTGAAGACACTCAAATTCAGGATGAAAGGGAGAAACGTGCTAAGAGGAAGGCACGCTTGGCAAACCCTCACCGTGATCAACTCCCACCGGAAACCTATGTCCCAACTGTGGAAGGACGTGTGGATCCAGAACTGGCCTCCACAGCCACTGTTAAGAGTGTGTTCAGGGAAGACCATCTTACTCAGCTACAAGTGATCGCCAAAGAAGATCATGGCTCAGTGGTGAAGGCCATTTGCCACAATGAAGTTCTGTACAAATTCACTTATGTGTAGGGCTGTGTTCTGTGTGTGAGTGAGAGATCACAAAGTGTTACTCCCACAGTGGCTGGAAAAAGACTAGATATTCTGCTTCTCCCACCTCTCAGCAGGTTCTCTAGCGAATTCCAGCCCCACAGAGGACTCACTTCTGCTGGCTGGGCCTGCTGCTGCTGGCCTTGAGCCCTAGGCCCCCGCACAAATCTCCGGCGTAAGAAAAATGGTGGGGGGCGCCTCCTTCGGGGGCGCTGCTGTACAGCATCATCAGCCCTCTCCCCCTCGCTGACCGTCTCTGCGGCCCCTTCTGTTCGGGTGGCATCCTGTGGCTGTTGGGCCTGCCGGGGCCTGGGGATGAACCTGCGGAAGCGGCGGCGGTTGGGAGCATAGCGGCTGCCCTTCACAGGAACGCCGCCTGGGCCAGTCACATTGGCCGCCTCAGCCCCCTGCAAAAGAAAACAAGGAACAAAAGGAGTGAGGAGAGAATCTTCCATCGCAGTCTTCAACAGCTGGAAGGCTAGCGCCACAGTCCTCTTACCTTCTCTCCTTCCACAACATCAAACTCCACCGTTTCCCCGTCTCCCACACTTCGGAGGAATTTACGGGGGTTGTTCCTCTTAATTGCTGTCTAGTAAAGTGCAAAGAAGACAACATGAACTTTTCGGGAAGGCGATGTAACTCATGCTACATTCTCAAGTTTCTACCAATTCCCAAGTTAAACCCTTTGGTAAGCACCAACAACAAACCATTTTGGCTGCACCAAGTTTCTGGGATGCAGAATCGCTCTTCCTTGAGGAGTGGGGAAGAAAGCAAATACCTTATTCCCATCAAACCTTTACAGATAATGCACAAGAACTATACGCTAACTGAATTAACAAACTCTCAAACAATTGGAGATAGCTCTTTTTAATGTTCTTTTATAATGACCAGCAATTAGGAATGCAGGCTTATTTGGCTACTGATGCAAGTTTTAAGAATAGAACATTCTCCAAACCATGTAGATAGACAGAGTAGTCCAAGAAGAACCATGTTGCTTGTGGTTTACAGGAATAATAACTTGTAGCAATTGAAGTTCTTCTAAAGCTTTATCTGGATGGCAATGCTAACCTACCTTAAAAGAGGTAGCTCCTAATCTACAAAAGAGTTGCACATCTGTTTAATAAGTTACCCATCCAGTTCAGTAATACAAGCTTTGCATCCTTAAAGCTTAGTGCCTATCTAATGGACATCTGATCATCTAAAGAGAAGGATTTAGGGGGGTCTCTCGTTAATTCAAACAATGATTTCCACATCTAGGAAATTTCCTCTAGGAAATCCAGCAGAGCGCCGTAATTCAGATTTCTGTTTGCCAACTTATTTACCACATGGAATGAGCTTGTGCTTAAGACACAAGCCTACAGCATAACAGAAAAGAGGGCAAAGAGAATGAACTTTAGTGCGTTTCTTACCTGGTGCACAAACACATCCTCCTTGGTATCATTCCTGTATTGAGGGAAGGAGAGGGAGACAAAGCTCAGAATACGCAGAGGGTGAGAGTTCTGGATTTCATGTATGCCAAATGAGGGATCAAATTAGGGAGTGGGGAGGTATGAGTTCTACAATCCTCTCCCAATTTTAGCCAGATCCCATCTCCCACAGCTTGGAGGCAGGGAAGTAACAAAAGGTTTGTGGGGGGTAATACCCCACCTGACCCTGCTGCAATTTGAGTAATGTGCCCAGCGCCCACAACACAACTTTAACGTGTCTACTCCTATACCAGCCTATGGCCACGGTCACTACCAACATACCCACTTGGTACCTCTTCAACTTGGACAGGCACCCAGCTAACCTAGTCTGAGGAAGCTAAGAGAAATGAGACACAGGCATTGTTTTCCACAAGCATAAAAGGAGAACCATAACTGATCAGTTACAGGTAAGTGTTGGTCTGCCGTAGTTGAAACAAAACAAAAAAAATCCTTCCAGTAGCACCTTAGAGACCAACTAAGTTTGTTATTGGTATGAGCTTTTGTGCGCATGCACACTTCCTTATTATGTTTCCATAACTGATCAAGTGATGATGCATGTGATAGCTATCTAAGTTTCTACTGTATATTATGAGAAGTTTGAAATTCAGAATATAGAAATTCCCAGTCTGACAACAGGTCTCATTTAAGTTAAGCACTGCTGTACACACACACACACACACACACACACACACACACACACACACCCTATCTGAAAGCTTCTAGCTCTCTGCTCTATCACCTTCACCAGAAATCCATGCTATTAGTATGAACAGTGGCTTTCTGCTAGCATAGCCAATTCCATTTACATACAGCCACCCAAAGAGGGCATCATAGTACCAACATACAGCATGGATAAACATGCCAAGTCCTTGGCTGGCTAGCTGGGAGTGTCACAGCTCTGCTTGTTGGCTTAATCAGCTGTTTGTATTAGCCAAGCCACACACTGGCGTCTGACAGATTAGTAGTCCAACCAAGCAGCCCAGATTTCTAAAATCACACACGAGCAAACAGTATTCTATTTGTAAGGGATTCAGTCAAATGCACAAAGGTCCAAGGAAGCTTCTTCCGAGCATGCACATATAGACCTGTTAAGGAGTTCTTGTGTTTCAGTACATTAGTTCTACAAAGATGTACTGGAAATCTTGCTCAGGTATGCTCAAGTCTTTCACTAGAGTTATCTTGGGTGGGGCACAATATTTTTTTCTGCGAAAGAGCAGACCAGCTGACAATTTCTGGGTTAGTCTTTGCTCCTGTGACTCAGAGGCTCTCTAAGAGAATTTAAGGAACTGAGAAGCAGCTCTGTTTTGTGGCGCTAGGCTTAATTTCAGGCTCATTTCACCTAAGAAAAAGTTCATTTCATTGAAGTGCAGTTCTCTTCATTGCTAATTCACAGCCAACATGCAAAACGAACTGAAGATATAGCTACTAGTCAAGGCTGTCTTAAGGATACGTGGCGCCGAGGTGCAAAGATCCGCCCAGCGCCCCCCCCCCCCGGTTGCCCAGTACCAGGCGTACAGGAGGGTGGAGCTGGCCGGCCGCCTCAGCGTCTCACTGGCTTGGTTGCCCCTGAACTTGCGGTACAGAGCCGCCCGCAGCAGAAGAGCCCGTCACGGCACTCCGACCGATGGGCGGGCTCTTCCCCGGACTCAACTCTCGGGACCCAGACTCTCGGCCTGGTGCCCTTGAGAGCCCGGCGCCCCACACCCCTAGCACCTATGGGTAAGACGGCCCTGCTACTAGTCAAGCCTGGCCTCCTTTACATTTCCCTTTTTTGCCATCAGCCACCGTAGTGGGAATCTACTGAAGGGGACTTTCTTGAATGCTACTGTACTCAGGTCCTTCTTGCAGCCTTCCGATAGGCATCTAGAAGAATGGGGTGCTGGACCAGATGGGCCACTGGTCCGATCCAGCCAGGTTCTATATGTAACCATTGTCAATTTATTACTTAAGCCAATACATTTCAATAGATTAAACTACTGTAGAGTTGTCTTCCTTAAAAGTTTGGTTGTAAAACTCGAAAGTTTTGCATTTTGTTCATCACTATCGACAGAACTCCAGCTGCTTCTGACCTCCCGAGATGAAGAGTCCGTTGCAACCAAGCTTGTTCCTTCTTAGGGAGGAAGCATGGAACGTAAATCAAATTTATAAATTCATAAGCATGTCAAATAAAAGGCCCCAGAGTTTCATGCATCTTCCAAGCCTTTGGGGAGGTAAACTAGGCTCACCTGTTTATAAATCCATAGCCATTGCGGACGTTGAACCATTTCACAGTGCCCTGCACCTGGGTGGCTGCAAGTCGTTGGCAGGAAAGAAAGAAAATTAACATGTTGAGAGGCAGATACACTTCCACCCACCTGGTGAAACATCTTTCCCTTCTAAGCACACCTCCAAGCCACTTCCATACCCCAATACTACTCTGCAAGCATTAAGAGTTTGGGTTCACGTCAGGAGTTCCAAAACAAGCTAAGATTTGCCCCTAAGGCTAGCTAATTTTTATTTCAACCCACTACAACTACGCAGTTATTACATACTTCTTTGTTGTATGACCTTGGGGCGGGGTTGTGAGTGGTTTAAAGAGGGCGGCATAGAAATGTTTTAAAACAGAATCTAGTAGACACCTAGCTTGGCAATATACAGTCTTCTCTAGGCTTTAAAGAAGCAGTACACACTTTTAAGTTGGTGGTCAAGTCCCTCAATAGACTTTCAGGAGGCAGAATTCTCATGGCTCCAACTTCATTTGCATCAGTTTCAACTGCCAGAGGTCTAGCCATGTGGCACAGTGGTTAGAGTGTCAGACCAGTACCTGGGAAATCAGGGTTCAAAATCCCCAGCTATGAAGCTCATTGGGTAACCTTGGTTCAGACACTGCCTCTCAACCTAACCTACCTCACAGGGTTGTGGTGAGGATTAAATGAGGAGGGGAAGAAACATGTATGACAGCCTGAGATTTAACAATAAAAGTAAACTAATGGGGGGTTTTAGCTCTCTATAAGGCCAGGTAATTTAAGCAAAAACAACACCTTTACTCTGAAGCAAACAGCCCCATATCCATTTCTGCCATGGAACCCTAGACACGCCCCCTCACCAGCCCCAAATCAGGAACACTTCCGAGCATCCTACTTACATAAGTTTTATCCTGTAAAAGGCTACAGCACACCATTCAGGCATCTCTTTATGATTGGGGGATGTGAGAGAGGTGGCAGAGTTTAAACTATTTCCAAGCCAAAAGGGTCAAAGCAAGGGAGGAGCCGTAGCTTCACCAATGGGCAACATGCATTGCACACCGGTCCCACATTCAAACCCTAATATCTTCTCATTAAAATTAATTAACTCTTGCATTTACATCCCACTTTCAATGAGCTCAAGGTGGCATGTGTGGTGAGGTCCTTTCCCTCTTAAAGGAACCAGGCACATGCATGGGCATAATGGGGAGCGGGCGCAGGGGGCAGTTGCCCACCCCAAGCAAGAGGAAAAAACGCTTAGCTGACCAATCGTGTCACAGATAGTTCCACCCCCCCCCCCAACAAAGCCCGGCTAAGCCCATGGTCTAGAGAAAGCTATTTCCCAGGACTAGAGAAATGTATCCCAAAGTGTGACATGTATTCAAAAGGGTTTCAAAATGTACATGGCAAAAGAAAAGAAAAAAGCTGCAGAATGCAATTCAAACACAAAAGGGCATTAATTAAAACTTTCCCCAAATTATTTCTGCCCAAGAATTAGTATGCTGGTAAGAATAAAGCTCTCAAAAGGGGTACACTATTATTTTAAGTTTGGGGAACCGCTGAGCTAGAGCAACAAATTTAGCCAATTAAGGTTCTAGCTAATTAAGCCCCAATCCCTCGGGGGAATGGCCCCCACCCTCTCTGGTGTCTAGACCTTCTGCCCCACCCACAAGCCCTTAAGTTACCCCCCTGCTCCACACCTCAAAGTTTGTTTTAAAGGCTCCCAAAGTAAACTTAGCCAAGTTAGTGTTTTTGTCAAATGAGCCACAACCCCTGGGGGGGTGGGGTGGCCCCCATTGCCTAGCCCTTCTCCGCACCCAAATGACTCTGCTCACAGACCCTTAAGGTGCTCTCTGTTCCCAGGACCTCGGAAGCCTGGTCTGCTATAATTTAGTCTTCGCTTTTTTTTAGTAAAAAAAAGTGCTGCTATCACAAATTTAGGGCAGTTAGTGGTTTTTGCCACAGCACTGCCCCTTACCTCAAGCCTGACCTATATAGCTCTTTTCATTTTAAAAAGTGCTCCTAATGCAAACTTTGTCAAGTTGGTTCCCCCGCTCCCCAAAAAAGCTATAACGTTTTGGGGACGTGGCTCCCACCCTCCCAGGCCCGCCTCTGCCCAAGTGACCCTGCCCACAATCCCTCAAGCCACACCCCTGACCCACAGCTTGGAGCCTAAGCTTCTCAAGCACTTTTTTGATTTAAAAAGTGTTCCTACAAACTTTGCCAAGTTAGTGGATTTCCCTGCCCCACTAGCCCCGCCCCCAACCTCTTAAGCCACACCCCTGTCCCACACATCAGAGCCTGACCAATTAAACACTTTTCAAATATAAAAAACTGCTCCTGCCACAAACTTTGCCAAGTTAGGTGTTTTTTTGCCACAAACTTTTTGGGGACCAGCCTTCCGCCTCCCTGACTCATAGCCCCGCCTCTGCCCAAGTGACCCCGCCCACAATCCCTCAAGCCACACCCCTTACCCCACACCTGAGAGTCCAGCTTCTCTAAAGCACTTTCATTAAAAAAAGTGTTCCTACAAACTTTGCCAAGTTAGTGGGGTCCCCCCCCAAAAAAACTTGGGCACTTGCCCCACTAGCCCCGCCCCCAATCTCTTAAGCCACACCCCTGTCCCACACCTCAAATCCTGACCGAATAAGCACTTTTTTAATATAAAAAACTGCTCCTGCCACAAACTTTGCCAAGTTAAGTGTTTTTTGCCACAATCTTTTTGGGGACCAGCCTTCAACCTCCCTGCCTCATAGCCCCGCCTCTGTCCAAGTGACCCCGCCCACAATCCCTCAAGCCACACCCCCTGCCCCACTAGCCCCGCCCACAACCTCTTAAGCCACACCCCCTGCCCCACACCTCAGAGTCTGAGCATCTCTAAAGCACTTTTTTTCATTAAAAAAAGTGTTCCTACAAACTTTGCCAAGTTGGTGGGGTTTCCTCTCCCCCCAAAAACCCCTTGGGCACCTGCCCCACTAGCCCCGCCCCCAACCTCTTAAGCCACACCCCTGCCTCACACTTCAGAGCCTGAGTTTCTCTAAAACACTTTTCTCTAAGGCTCTCCTACTACAAACTTGGCCAATTTAGTGGGGTCCCCCCCCAAAAAAAACACCCTTGGGCACCTGCCCCACTAGCCCCGCCCCCAACCTCTTAAGCCACACCCCTGCCTCACACTTCAGAGCCTGAGTTTCTCTAAAACACTTTTCTCTAAGGCTCTCCTACTACAAACTTGGCCAATTTAGTGGGGTCCCCCCCCAAAAAAAACACCCTTGGGCACGTGCTCCACTAGCCCCGCCCCCAGCCTCTTAAGCCACACCCCCTGCCCCACACCTCAGAGTCTGAGCATCTCTAAAGCACTTCTTTAAAGCATTCCTACTACAAACTTGGCCAATTTAGTGGGGTCCCCCCCAAAAAAAAAACACACATTGGGCACCTGCTCCACTAGCCCCGCCCCCAACCTCTTAAGCCACACCCCCTGCCCCACACCTCAGAGCCTGACCAAATACTTCTTTAATATAAAACTTTATATAAAACTTTGCCAAGTCTTTTTTTCGCCCCAACGTTTTGGGGGACCTGCCCCGCCCCCCAGTATCCACGACGCCCCGCCCCCTCCCCCCGCGCCCCTCCCCCCGCTCCAGAGCTCCGCGCTGGCCCCGCCCACCCCTCCTCCCCCTCCCCTCAGGTGCTCGCGGGGCAAACGGTTCCCTCAGAGGGTCTCTCCTCCCTCCCTCCTCAGCCCCCCTCACCTAAGACGCGCTTGGCCGCCTGGCTCCGCGCCGCGGGTGCCGCGGATAAGGCTGCCGCGGGCGGGGCGGGCTTGGCCGCGGGCTCCCCCGCGGGGCTCTCCCCGGGGCCGGTAACGGCTCCTCCGCCTCCGCTCTCCACAGCTTCGCTCAGCATCGTCCGCCTCTCCGCCGCCTTCTCCTCCACCTGTTGGGTGTCCGCCTGCCCGTCCGTTGGTCCCGCCGCGGCCGCCGCCGAAGCGCCCCCTCCTCCTCCTCACCGCGCGCCCGCCCGCCTGCCTCTGCCGCTGCCCGCCTCGCGCCCGCCGACACACCCTCGCCCCTCGGCCCAACGCCCAATCAGCAACGGCCGCCGCTCGCTCGCACGCCCGCGCGCCCTCCGGCCAATCAGCACCTCGCACCTGCCTACCGGCCGCGCTGACCACCCCCCTCCCCTTTTATATATATAGAGATGATAAGGCGTGCGGGGGCGGGGCGTGCGGGGGAGAGGCACGCCCCCGCCCCCGCGGCCACGCCCACGCCCCGCGCTCCCATTGGACGGCAGGGTCCCGCTCAGGTGCTCCGCGGCCACGTGGGGGCCGGAGTGGGATGAAGGATGCGATGCAACGCCCGGAGAGAGAGGAATCGAGCGCCCGCGGCTGGGATGGCGAGGCGATTAATTGCCGGGCGTAATCAGCCTAATCAAGGTCCTGCGAAAGTTTTGCACCGCGGGGAGTTTTTTTGCGCGGCTGGAGGGGAAAGGCTCCGCTGCAAATCGGCGGGATTTGCTTCCGAGTAGACCGGACTGCTGTATATTGTCTCCCTGCTTATTTAACTTACATGCAGAATTCATCATGGGAAAGGCTGGGCTGGATGAATCCCAAACCGGGATTAAGATTGCCGGAAGAAATATCAACAACCTCAGATATGCAGATGACACAACCTTGATGGCAGAAAGTGAGGAGGAATTAAAGAAGCTTTTAATGAGGGTGATAGAGGAAGAGCGCAAAATATGGTCTGAAGCCCAACATCAAAAAAACGAAGATCGTGGCCACTGGTCCCATCACCTCCTGGCAAATAGAAGGGGAAGAAATGGAGGCAGTGAGAGATTTTACTTTCTTGGGCTCCATGATCACTGCAGATGGTGACAGCCGCCACGAAGTTAAAAGACGCCTGCTTCTTGGGAGAAAAGCAATGACAAACCTAGAGAGCATCTTAAAAAGCAGAGACATCACCTTGCCAACAAAGGTCCGTATGGTTAAAGCTATGGTTTTCCCAGTAGTGATGTATGGAAGTGAGAGCTGGACCCTAAAGAAGGCTGATCGCCAAAGAATTGATGCTTTTGAATTCTGGTGCTGGAGGAGACTCTTGAGAGTCCCATGGACTGCAAGAAGATCACACCTCTCCTTTCTGAAGGAAATCAGCCCTGAGTGCTCACTGGAAGGATAGATCGTGAAGCTGAGGCTCCAAGACTTTGGCCACCTCATGAGAAGAGAAGACTCCCTGGAAAAGACCCTGATGTTAGGAAAGATGGAGGGCCCAAGGAGAAGGGGACGACGGAGGACGAGATGGTGGGACAGTGTTGTCGAAGCTACCAGCATGAGTTTGACCAAACTGCGGGAGGCAGTGGAAGACAGGAGTGCCTGGCGTGCTCTGGTCCAGGGGGTCACGAAGCGTCAGACACGACTAAATGACTTAACCAGAACAACATCAGACTGGGCTGCCTGCACAGCTTGGTTTCCAAGAAGTGCAGCAAGAGTGGTGGGCCACTCAGCTCTTTCACTTTCTGACGCCTCTGCAAACGCAGGACCTTGTCGTGTACTGTGTTGCAACTTGTGAAAGTGAAGTGCAGGCTCTGCATCACAGATGCATTGCCTTCAGATCAGTTTTGCTCCTGGCCCTGGTTTGCAATAGCTACGCCGTTGGTTCCAGAGGCTCTGAACATACTTACACCCTGTTTGCGTAGGCTGGAGGGGCGGGTGTGTTTCTTTATTACTTGCACTCTTTTTTATTATTACTGTTACCATATTAGCTGCCATCTCTGCATCTTTTGGCAAGCACGAACCATGCAGGTCTTTGCATTTTGCAGAACATTTTTGGCCCTGATTGTGCGTGCTTGATAGTAGTCACTTGCTGTCTTACATTTGCATTCGTGTGTATGCATGTATTATATATGTATTCTGTATACAGTATTTAACACGTATATCCGCCTTATTTTTTTTAATTATTTATTAAATTTTTATACTACCCTTCATCCGAGGATCACAGGGCGGTTTGCAATATAAGCACACAAAAATAAATGAGGATTGACTGACACTCATATAGGTGTGCATTGGCTTTATCCTTTTGGGCTTGCTTGCTTGCTATGTCCATCTTTATCTAGAAGCATATACATGATGCAGATACCTCCTAACTGATTTGCACCTGTGATTCCTCGCAAACAGTTTAACTCTTTCTTTTGCACCAGTCCTGAACAATCTGTGCATCCAATTCTGTAGCTGTTGCTTACTTGGGAGCAAGTCCCAAGTGAGGCTTGGCTTCCGAGTAAACATACAGAGGGTATGTCTGCTTGTTTGTACCACTATTTGCACCTGAAGGTAAGATTCAGCCACTTCTGATGAGACAGAATCATATCTTCATCCAGGAACTGGATAAAGGTCTCTCACTTGGCAGCAGGGTACAGCACCTTTGTGACCTGCAATTTCCTCTCTCTTTCTGGGTCAAACAAACGCCCCCTCTGCCCCAAAGCAGAGAACTTGATTCTTCCATTTTCATCCTCTTTTGGATTTCTGATTTCTTCCCTATCTCCACCACCCCCTTCGCAATCAGTGTGCATTCTAATCTCCCTTTTTTGTTATCGAGGCAAGGTAAAAGTCCAACAGCCGAATTTCCTTGTATAACCATTAACTAAAAATAAGGTGTTCTGCTGCTTTGCTTTCCGCTGCAAAGCTGCGGCTCTCAATGTAATCAAACGCCAGGTCAGCCGGGGACAGATCTTGAAAGCACTTCCTTATTTTGGGACAGTGTAACAAAAAGTTACTCTTAGTTTGCCTCTGTGCTTCTGTCATAGGAAGTATTAGGTTTCCCCCTGGGCCCTTTAAACATATTTTATTGTGATAAGAAGCAAACAAATAAACAAAGAAAATTACACACTGCGTCTCCATTTTCAATTCATACAGTCTTTTTCACAGTTCACAGACGCTGTTGTCATAGACATCATGCAGTTTGTGGAAGAGAAAGCAGGAAGAGAAAGGGAGATGGAGAGAGACGGAGGGGGTTAATGTTCTTTTGTTCTATTGCATAGTGTTAGTGTAGGGTTTGTGTCAGCAACACATTTATTTGTATATATTTGTATTGGCATTGTAAGAGATTAGGGGGTCCAGAGCTTGATTGGTTTTTAAGGTGAATTCCTAAGCCACAGATATGGCAGCTGGGAGAGGCTAGGCTGTGGCTCATCTCCCCACCCTTGAGCTGGTCTTAAACCAGCGTATCTGCTTAAACTGGCTGTGGGAGAGCCTGAATTAAGCTAGCGGAAGTTACGCTGGTGTAAACTATAGGTAAAGGTAAAGGGACCCCTGACCATTAGGTCCAGTCGTGGCCGACTCTGGGGTTGCGGCGCTCATCTCGCTTTACTGGCCGAGGGAGCTGGCGTACAGTTTCCAGGTCATGTGGCCAGCAGGACTAAGTCCGCTTCTGGCGAACCAGAGCAGTGCACGGAAAGCGCCGTTTACCTTCCCGCTGAAGTGGTACCTATTTATCTACTTGCACTTTGACATGCTTTCGAACTGCTAGGTTGGCAGGAGCAGGGACCGAGCAACCGGGAGCTCACCCCGTCGCGGGGATTCGAAACTGACGACCTTCTGATCTGCAAGTCCTAGGCTCTGTGGTTTAACCCACAGCGCCACGTCCCGGTGTAAACTATACAAGCAATTAAAAACACATCCTTCCACACTGGTTAATTGATGGGTGTTTTTAATTTTTTAATGGTTTTGTTGTACAACTTTATGCTTTTCTCGCCATAAACTGCTTTGATTTTTTGAATGACACAGCGGCATACCATATATTTTTTTACAAATAAAATCAGTAAAAAGGGCAAATGGAGGCGGGGAATGTCAAGGGTGCAGAAAGAGATAACCAACGTTATCCTAACTCCTTTAATTCATTGGTCCAGCCCACATAGCCTGGTGAAACTTACCCCAATGAAAAACAACAACACACAGGCATAACTAAATTCAACGGAAAGGCAGAAAAATGAAGATTTATGGCTTACACCCAGTCTAGCCACCCCCTGGCCAGGAGCAGTCGGGAAGCAGCTTAATTAAGAGGGAGGCTTGCTTTTGCCAGCTTAGAATTGCTGTGCCCGAGTACTGTAATCGCTTTCCTGGGAGTAATCTCCATTTAACACAGTGGGACTTACCTCCAAGTAAATAGGCACAGGATTGGACTGCCTACAATGGCTTGTGGACAAAAAATAAAAGTAGCCTTCCACTTGCTCCAATGTTCCTTTGCTCAGCTGTGGTGGAGAACCTTTTCTGCTGAGTGAATATTCCTCTTTGGGTTTGAGGTGTGATTTCTTTCTCCTTTTCAATTTTCAATTTCTCCCTCTTGGAAGCTCCAGCAGAATCTTGATGACAAAAAACTTCAGGGAAACAAGACTTAGGAGTGTGATTTCAGCCCTCGGCATCAGCCCCTGTGGGTTCTTCGCTTAGCCTCAGTGTCCCAGTCAGTAAAATGGGAAGATTTGCCCCCTCCTCCCCTGTGCTGTCATGAGACTCAGCAGGCTGCAAGCATGCACTTGCTTTGTGCGGAAGCAAATGAAATGTGTAAAATTAAAATAGGTCAATATGTAGGGGGAGAGGCAAGGACATTCAAGACGTAAGTGTTCTTTGGAGAAAATGCATTTATAGAATGACATCAACGATGAGACATAGAATACAACCAAAAGCAAACTAATAATACACAAGTGCCTCATTGGTTTTTAACACAAGCTGACTAAGCAGGGGTCAGAATAGAATCCAAGTCCAGGGGAATTAAACTGCTGCTGTGCAGATTTGAGCCTTGATGTCGTCCAGTGGTTCTTAAAGTGGGTGCCGCTGCTCCCTGGGGTGTGCTGGGATTACCTGGGGGGGTTGCTAAGAGGCAAGGGGGTGCTGATGTACCCCACCCATCTGACTGGGTTGCCCAAGACCCTCTCGGCGGCTTCCAGCATATAAGGTAAAGGGACCCCGACCATTAGGTCCAGTTGTGTCCGACTCTGGGGTTGCGGCACTCATCTCACTTTATTGGCCGAGGGAGCCAGTGTAGT